TTCACAATAGCAGGTGTGCTTGCCAAGCAGGATGCAGTTACAATGGTTACAGGTACTAAGAACAGTGTGCTCCAAACCTCAACGGTTCAAGGCTCTGAGTACAGCATGACCCAGTTATGCACCCGAGGGGGCTGTGGTAGGGAGGGAGAAGCTAGGCTGGAGCTTACAGCAAAGATGGAGTTAGTTAGGTTAGCACAAGTTAGGTTATTACATTCCCCACTTGTGTTTTTGGGGAGTTAAAGGATTGACTCTTTAGTTACAACAAGGGGGTTATAGTGGCTTCTGGGGTACGTAAGTTTGACAGAATTTATGTGCTGCCTTAATAAGCAGGGTCCAAAGATTAAGCCTAACAGGAGGAGGAGAAGAGGTCCCACTAGCCGGGTTATTAGTTAACCATGAGCTTCAGTTAAACCTGTTTTGGAACAATGGGGTATTTTTCTCCCACTTTTGCCAGCACGCATTTAAATTGTCCTGGACCTTTTGGAGAGTATCTTTAATGACTCCAGACTTGTTAGCATAAAAACAGCTTTTAGTGCGGCACATAAACCTCCTTGGGAGAGGAATACTAGATTTAAGCCTCAGCGATTTTGGAGAACTACTTTACCTAAAGATTTTACTTGGGCATGTAACATTTTTATGGCAGACTGGATATTTTTAAAATTCGAATCTACTTGTTGGATTAGGGATGATAGTCCGGTCTCTCACTGGACCAGGGCTGCAGTGCAAGTGGCTGCCGATTCAGCCATACTAAGACTGGCTAGGATGGGCATAATGAGGGGAACACCTTGGCGAAACCTGGAGTGTAGCTCCAGCGGAGTGAGGAGATGTTTTTCTGGTTCACTGTACACATAGACCTGGGGAAGCACGTGGACTAACACGCACAAGACAGGTTCAGGTTTAGTTTTAGTGATGCAGTGGGTGAGGCCGGAGGCGCAGTCCAGCTAAGTACAGTTAGGTGCCTGTTAAGAAACTGAGTAGTTTATGACAGTGAATAAAGACTGGTTGCAGGTGGCTTTAGGTGCCAGGATGGAAAGAGTGGCAGGGCCCAGTTTGGTTAGGAACTGGATTAGGGTGCTTTCCCCTGACAAGTGGCTGATGTCTTGAACCTGTTGGGGAGACTGTAGGTACTGTAACAGATTAGTTTGGGTTATTTCTGCTATTTGGGTGTCCTTTAACCTGGATAGTATAGGAGGTGTCCTTTTATACATGATTTTAAAAGGAGAGAAACCTGCCTCACAGGGAGTGCATTTAACCTTAAGGAGGGCTAAAGGAAGGAGGTTTGTTCAACCCTTACCGGTCTTCAAGATTAATTTTGTAAGAGTACTTTTTAGGGTACGATTTATGTGTTTTACCTGTCCAGAACTCTGAACCAATTGAGCTATGGACGAGGTGAAGGCTGGCCCATTATCAGACCCTATACAAACAGCAGCCCATGTCGGATGATTTTATTAAGAATGTAACCACCATAGAGGCAGTTTCTGGTGGCAAATGTCTTAGTCCATTCAGAAGAAGTGTTCACTATTACCAAGAGATATTTATATCCTGCCAGGTGTGGCTTGAGTTCTGTGAAGTTTATTTTTTACGTTTTTCCCCAGACTGCATCACTGTAGATGGGGGCCCAGTTTAGATTTTGGGTTTTGCTTGGCATTTACCTGAGTGCAGGCCATAAGACCATTGGCTACCTGGGCAGTTAAGTCCTGGAGATGAGAGATTTTGAGATGGCTTGCTTGCTCTTCTTTCTTTGGGGAGTAGACGAGGCAGTTGGGCAGGCTAGGAGGTGGAAATGAAATAGCTGGCAACAAAGTTAATGGGGCAACTGGGAGTGCAGCCACCTTGCGGGCTGCAGGATCTCTGTTTCTCCTGGCAACAGCCATGTTTTTTTTCTGGTACCCTTTGTAGTGAGTAACAGCCACCTGGCGGGGAAGCCACATGGCTTCCGAGAAGGTCAGGATTTTGTTTTTAATAGTCTTTCTGACCAACCTAATTCCTTTTCCTGGTAGATGGCACCATGGATGCGCACAGGGACAAAAGCATACCGGCTATTAGTATAGACATTAATACATTTGTTTTCCCACCTGAGAGCTTGGGTGAGGGCTATTTAGCTTTTGGGCAGATGCTTTAGCTGGCAAAGCCTGAGATCACAGAATGTCTCTGGTGACAGCAGCACCGGAAGCTGCTACCATTTGTAAATACAGTGGCATCTGCCTTTTTCAGGGGAGCTTCCTGGAGATTAGGCTGGCCAGTTTCCATAGTCTTTAATAGCTCTTGGCATCATGGACAGGTAGTTAAATTTGAATTAGGGAGTAGAGTAGCTGGATTTAAACACCTTGTTGGGGAGAAAGTTAGGTGAGGCCCCTGGCAACAGCAGGCTTTGGTGCTGTAATATGTGAGCATTGGACATTTATTTATCGGAGGCGCTGCACAGCAATGTTTCAATGGCATGAGGAGCCACGAGGGTTAAGGTTTTGGCCCAGGATTAGTTTATTAGCCTCCTGGACCAGACCTGTGGTTGCCGTTACTGCCTGTAGACAACTTGGAACGCTCATGTTTAACTTCTTAGAGTGCTGCCACTAAGATTTTTGCTGCCTCTCTGATGTCCTGTTGCTGCCTTTTCAGCTGCCAGAGCAGCCTGTTTGGTTTTTTATCATTTCCATCATTAAAAACATTTTGAGCTATTTTCAGGAGTTCGGAAATGTTTAACAAATTTTTTAAGTTTTTGTGACTTTTTTCAAATATTAGGAGCTGTCTGGGCCATAAATGCCAAATTAATAGCACAGCTGTTTTTGGGAACAGCTGGATTAAATGGGGTGTAAATTTGATAGGCCTTCTGGAGGCCTAAAACACTTCATGTGACTTAGCCCCTGGACAACTTCAGTTATTTTAGACAGATTCATGTGTTTTTCAGCGGCTCCTTTAATACCCAGAAGGAGATACCAGTGAAAATTGTCCAAAGCTTTACTCCCCTGAGGTATTTGGGTCCCAGTCAGGCCGAGTAGAAGAGAAAACTTCCTCTAGGAGGTCTCGGGCTCCCTCCTCTGGAATACTGGCTGAACTAAGGACAAACTTTTTGGCCTCCCTTCACATACAGTCCCTTTCCTCAGATGTAAAAAGAGGGGTCGCTGAGTCTAGAGTATGGACTTAACCAGTGAGGTCAGGACCTCAGGTTTCTCAGAGAAGGGTGGATGCTGAGCTTTTTGGTTGTACAGGTTAGAAGTAGATAGAAAAAGGGACATCAACCAAAAATGGGACTGAGCGTTTGCCACCAGACATGTGTGGTGCTTTCCTTAAGGGTAGAAGTGGGGCAGCCACCTCTGGCTGGGGCCTCAGTCTGGAGGTGATAGGTGGAGACCACAGGAGATGAGCCAAGGAGGTGGATTCTGGACTAGGTCCAGCCACTGGTTAATATAGGGAAAGTGATTAGGGTGTCCAGATGTTCTGGTAACCACCTTTTATACTGCCTGAACTGTTCTGAAATTCAGAGATCCAGATGGGGGCCATCTCATTCCAATGCTTGGCCACTCCGCTTCGCAGAGTTTGGAGTCTGCCTTTAGCAAGCAAACTCTGTACTCTCCAAGGAAGCCCAAGGTGAAATGTTTTTAACATGCACTGGTGAGGTTTAGAGAGTTGAGAGGAGGCAGACCCCATTATAGGAAGTACTTAGGGGGACCTGGTGGTCTTAGAGGTGGTCGGGGATTTCTTTTCATAGGCGAGTCTGGGGTAAGGGGTGAGGGTGAGGAGGATACAGACCACCGGAACGATCCCACCAGTACCACCTGACAGTGAGTTTCCACCCAGGGGCGTTATAGGAGTGGAAAAGTTGTAGAGCTAAAAAGGCAGTTTTCCTTAAACAGGGGCTTGTCTAAAGGTACAGGAAAAGTGGTGGGATGACAGAAAAGATGGGCCAGGAGATTAGCAGGATGGGTGTTTTGAATTTAGCAGTGGTATATGGGACCATCACACCAGTCACTGGGACACGGTTATGACAGTCCAACTTCCAGCAAGCTTTATTATGCCAAAAATCCCAAACGGGGAGCAAGCCCCCTGATGCCTAGTGCAAACCTTCCCATAGCAACACTTAACTTCCTTCTGACCAAAAAGACCAGCTCGGGAGACCAGCCCAGGCGACAGATAGGCGAGATGTTGCCTGGTGGGAAGAGGTCTTTAGTGAGGGCCTTGAAGAAATTCTCACCTAACCCTCCTGGACAGTAATGACGGGACATGCAACTTACACATTAACAGTGAGCAAAACACAAGACACCCACAACACAGACGTTGGAGACAGAACAGTGAGGTAGCTAAGGCACCCAGATAGACAAACGACTGTGGTTGCTTTAAAAGGACAGACAAGGACAGGGTCCCATATTGGGATCACTCAAATGCCTGCCTGGCCGCTCCCCTTACAGAGACTTGGGCGCCTCTTGGCATAGACAGATAAGTATAAACCCCCAACTTGGATCAGAACTAGTCTAGTCTGATGCTGTCGTTAAGCCACATGGTCACCACGGAACCGCAGGTTAGGGTCCACTTGAACTCCATAGCTTTTGCCATGGAGCTACAGACTGGATTCTTAGACGCAAGCCTCTAAGGTCCCCACGCACTCACATGCATGCACACATTCATTTAGAGGTTACTGTAGTCTTTTTGCATTTGTAAGCAGCTAGAAATCTTTGTCTTAGAGAAATCTCTTAAATCAGACAAACTGGGGACTCTGTCCTCCAGCATTCTGGAGTGGTGACAGTCCTGAGGGATGCCCTCTTTATGGCTAAAACTCTCTAAATCAGATGGTAGAACAGAACCAGGGACTCTGGAAACCTAGAGTCCAAAAACAGAAACAGAACCAGGGACTTCAGATACCCAGAGATCAAAAACCAGAACCAGAATCAGGGACTCTGGGACACCCAGAGCCCAAGGCCACAGGAATCACCCTAGTCAATTCCAGTGTCCTGGTCATCGGATGACCCTTGTAACTTCCAGGAATAACCAGGTCAGGCCTGACTTACCTTCTCTGCAGAGCAGGACCAGGGACTTTGAAGAATAATTTGATGGAGCATGCCAGGAGTCTATCCGCTCTCCTCTGGCAAGGGGTGGCCTATGGGGCCCTGGAATGTCTCAGGGGTTGCCTCCCCTGTAGTCCGCCTCCTCCCCCAGGGAGCCCGGAACAAGCCTGGTATGCACCTGGTGGCAAATAACTGAGTGAGTTACAGAGAAAACACCACACTCTGAGTACTAATTCAGGAGTTCTTTTATTAGCTGGTGACCGAGATGGCTAATGCTTAAAATACTCTCAGCCCCAAGGAAGGGGCTTGATTTCCTTTTATACCTTGATTTAGGTATGGGAGGGGGCAACTAGCTGAAGTGGATTTATTGCATTTTAGGTTTTGGGGTACATGTGAAGAACATTCAAGATAGTTGCATAGTTACACATGTGGCAGTGTGATTTGCTGCCTTCCTCCCCTTCACCTATATCTGGCATTTCTCCCCCTGCTATCTCTCCCCAACTCCCCACCTCCCGCTGTCCCTCCCCTATTCCCCCCAACAGACCCCAGTGTGTAGTGCTTCCCTCCCTGTGTCCATGTGTTCTCATTGTCCAACACCTGCCTGTGAGTGAGAACATGCAGTATTTGAAGCCGAATTTTTACAGAAGCAGAACAAGCAAGTCAGTAGGAGGCTGGGAACCAGGAGGCAGGAGGTTCCCATAATTGCTGGTTACTAAGTATTTCCATACAGTCATCAAGGTGGGTAGTAGGGGGATACAATCCATCCATCACTAAGAGAGGTATTCACAATAGCAGGTGTGCTTGCCAAACAGGATATAGTAACAATGGTTACAGGTACTAAGAACAGTATGCTCCAAACCTCAACGGTTTGAGGTTCTGAATACAGCATGACCCAGTTATGCACCCGAGGGGACTGTGGGAGGAAGGGAGAAGCTAGGCTGGAGCTTACAGCTTAGATGGAGTCAGGCTAGCACAAGTTAGGTTATTACATATTAAATAGGCACAGATTTTTAAAGTTTCAGAACTTCTACTTTGGACTTAACATGCTTGAGGGGAATCTGCATCTTCAGCCATTACGAAATGTAATTGTTTCTTATCATGGCTGTGTCCAGGGCTATGGGGCTATGTCTGAACTTCGTAATGATAGCCCTACTTGGTAACTTGAAATGGAAAAGTGGACTGTTTCATTTTGTGGGATGAAGTGAAGCAGCAGACATACCTCTGAAAGCAGCTTTGATAGCATACTCTCCAGAAAAGTAAAGGAGGGAACTTGTTCTATTGTTCTAGACTATATTTGCCTTTGAATCATTCATTATTAATCATTGCTCAGCTTCACTTCCAATACTGTGGTTATAAGGGCAGAATCCAAACTTTCTCTGGGAGAGCAGATAGTTGTCATTAATGATTATCCTCTGAGTAGCTGATAATAGAAACATTTCATTTTCTATCTGATTACACCCTCACAATTCACACTTTAGCCTTTGAGAGTGGCTGGTACAAGTTAGTTTCAAGTGTTGGATTTATCCACAGGTCAGATTCTAAACACAACGGATTTTCTCCTGTACTGTTCGCGTGACTTTTCTGTAATAATTTGTTATTCAAAGCCAAGCCTTCAGTTTATGAAGCTACATAATCTATATAGAAATTACATTGCCAAAAAAAGACAACAAAATATATGTATTTATCTGAGTAAAAGCACTTTGTTAATAGTGACCATGAAGTCTTTATGTGACCAATAAAATTATGGGTCCTAAAAAAATCCCATCCTAGATATCCTCCCAAATTTGACTTCCCTGTCCATGGAGGTCTGAAATGAAAACATAGGTTTGGAAGTTTTATTAATAAGTATAGACTAAGCTACATGCTGTGATAACAAAGAAACCCCAATATCTCAGTGGCTTAAAGCACGAGTTGGCCAACAGTCCATAGGCCAAATCCAGCCTGGCACCTGTTTTAGTAAATGTTATTGGGGCACAACCATTCTCATTCGCTTACTGTCTATGGCTACTTCTTACTATAATGGCATAGCTGAGTAGCTGCAATAGAGACCGTATCGCCTGTAAGTTAAACATATTAATCATCTGTTATTTCGTAGAAAAATTTGACTCTGCACTTATTTTTTGTTCATCCAAAGGTCAACTATCCCAACATTGCCCTAAAGCAGCTTACTTCTAAGCTCCCAACTCCGATATCTAAGTTGATTCCACCTCAGGACTATCTCAATATAAAGCTTTTAGTTTGGCCTAGGAAATTGACATCACCCATTAGTGATAGCCAATCCAATGAAATGGACTCACTGCACCACAAAGGATGTGGATTATGTGAGGTACAACATGGATATTTGATCAACAGAAATCATTGCTATCCCAGTCATCTGTATATAAGTGATACTTAAAGACAAGAGGCTGGATTAATTTATCAAGGGAGAGTTTTCATAGAGGAGAGAAAAGGTTCAAGGACTGTCTTAGGGCATTCCTAAACAGCATTAGGAACTCGGAAAGAACAAGCTAGAAGAACATAATGAACAACCAGGCACATATGGGTAAAACCAGTTACTTGTGGATATCTTCAATGCCAAATGAAGGAAATGTATTTAGAAAGAGGGAATTATATGCCAAATGCTAATAGGTCAACGAATAGGAGAGTTGGAATGTTGAATTTCAGAAGATCATTGGGCACCTTGAAAAGAGCTATTACTTGGAGTGTTTTGGAAGCCTAATTGTAATGAGTTTAAAAGAAACTGGGAAGAAAGGAACTAGAAAGAGGAAAAGTTGACAAGTATTTCAAGAAATTTTACTGTTAAGAAAACGAGTTAAATGGGGTTATATAGAGAGGAATAATGGGGTCAAGATAGAGGTGTTTTGTTTTTTCCTTTCCACATTGGATTTTTCTTCTTAGTCAGTTTGCAAGCCTGGGACTTCCCAATCAGTGACATCCTGCCTGGGCGCTTCTCGGCCATGATGGTGTTCCTCAGCTTGCCTATGTTATAGCTTGTACAGGTGTTCAGCTGTTCTGGAGCTCTTGTGCCATGTCCAAGAAGAATGAGGATACAATGGACATTGAAGGGTGAAGATGGTGGAGAATAATTTTACTGAGCAATGAAACAGCTTTCAGCAGAAGGCATGCAATGTTGGTCCCCCTGCCTGAAGGCAAGAATCTCCCCTTGGTTGCTGGGTCCAGGACCTTTGGACTCAGAATGGGGAGTGTTGATTAATTTAAGAGCATGCAGAAAAGATTAAAGTGAAGACACCACTCAAAGGTGGGCACAACAGTGTAGAAAGTCCATTAGAAAAGTGTAGATACATGTAAAATAGGTGAAACGTGGGGATCAGAAAAGCACACCATATGGGAAAACAAGTTCTCAATACAGTCCAACCAAGGATTTAATTTGTAGCTTGGCTTTCAGGTTTTAAATTATCCTTGGTTGGAGGTAGGGTTTCACTGGGGATCCTCCCCAGATGCCTAAGCATTTGGCTGCCTCCTGCTGCTCTCACTTTAAATGAAAACTTTCATGTTCTTAAGTTGATGGAAATGATTGTATACAGAGAAAAATGTTGCTGTAAGCATGAGAGGTAACTGCAAAGATGCTGAATGAAGTGAAGGAATGTAGTAGACAAAGAGGGGGTGCTGACTTTAGGCGGAGCATAAATGCTTTAAAGGAAGTGAATTAACTTTGAATCTTTTTCAGCAAAAATCTCACTTTTCAACTCAACACTTACAGATCAATTTTTTTTTTTTTTTCCTTTAGCAAAGTTAATTCCAGCATGGTCCCCTGTTCTGAAGCATTTGAGAAAACGACCTCCAATTAGGTCAACAGCTTTCTGACTTTTAAACAGGAGTGTTTTAACCCTGGTAACACTTTATAATTAGTAAGAAACAGTGACTGGATTACTACATATAATATAGTAATTTTGTTATAATCCTAATACCATCCTCATGGTGCTGGAATAGCCAGATGTTTATCTTATATTTCACAGTAATTGTGAAACTAAATCTCTAAAGAATCTTCACCTTATTTTTCTATGGAAATTAGTTCTTCTCATGGCGAGCTATAAAATTTCAAATGGAAACTATATATTTCTTCTCTGAATGCTATTTTTCAATAGCAACGCTCAGCTATTTCCAGCCATATTTTTTTACTCTAAATATTAAAAAGTGCTTTTTATGAAGAAAAAGCCAATGATAATACAAACCTGTGATTGTTCTCAATTCTATTATATGTTAATGTGTGTGTGTGTGTGTGTGTGTGTGTGTGTGCGCGCGCGCGCCTGTGTTATAATTATGAATAAAAGGGCAGGATTTAACAACTTCTTCCAGTTAGCATGTTAATTTCTCATTTTAAAGAAACCTTTTTTATATATATACACAAGAGTTGACATGAATCCCATAAGTTTCATTACCTTTTTTCTTGCCCTTTTTTGAAAAACAGCTTGCACATCTCCAGCATTGCATAAAATACCCATTTGTAATTATGCTTAACCTTTCCAAAGCCTTTGGGCATAGTCTGCTCATTAATCTTTAACCTGACAAGCCTTGGGGGTTGTAAAATTGGTACCTCTGTATTAGAGACATACAGACTAGAGACTAGAGGTACAAAAGGGGTAATTAAGAGGAGGTAAGAAAAGAAATAGAACAAAACTAGTGAGATATTATGGTAGATGTCAGCTAACAGCAGGAACAATAGAATACAAATCATTGTAGACAGTTCAGGAAAAAAATGAAGGTATACTTTAGAAAATTGATCTAATACCCTGTCCTACTAGAGAATAACTTGCATCAAATTGATCTAAAGATTTACAAATATAATCATATAAAATATGGCTATGCTTTAACATTCCTACATGTATTTTCCCATGCTGGGCTAACATAGTATAACGAGACTATTTGAAGTAACGCTAACACCATTGCCTGAAAAAATTAGTTTGTGATGAAGGAAGTACCATATTTCTAACATTCAGATGATCATTTTTGTATTGGGTGTTGATGAAGAGAACATGAGTAAAATGTAGTTCTCCATATTTTCCGATGTATACAATTTTTCCTAGACACTTGTATTAGCTGTTGAAGATTTGTTATTAAACAAGATTCCCATACATTTGTGCAAATACGCACACATATGAAAATATTAAACATTTAAAATTTTATGGCGATTTTGTTTTTTTAGCAAATACTATTCTT